GTAGTGGATTTCTCCCCTACAAACGCTGTTTGTCGCTGAATAGCCGACCCCGTGAATTCCCCAGTGTATGCCTCGTGGTCTAGGTCAACCAGCGACGCCCACGGAGCGGAGGTCAACTATCTACCCACGCCTACCTACGCTATAAAAGACCTGACCTCGTGGTGCCCTCCCTCTTCTTCTTCTAGCTACAGCCGCAGCAAGCAACACCTCCTCCTCCTCCGCCGCTGCCTGGCGGCCCTCGCTCCCGCCGGCGAGCATGGCAACCCACAAGCTGGTCCTCCTCTGAGCACCCTCACCAACCAACTCTCTCTACTCAACGCTTGTAACCACACTGCCACTTCCCGGCACCAAGCTGCATTGTACATCCAATACAATATGTATACAGTGAGCACATTGTGAGTTTCCTTTCTCCTTACCATCCTGAGTGTGAACCCAAACAAATCGTACCCCACAATATTACTGTAATTTTAAATTATTCTAGTACTGTAATGTATAAAAGAAAGAAAAGTATAGCTACTATATACAGTATGTTGGTAATATTGTAGTGAGTTATTATGTGGGCTTTTAGTTGAGGCGTTTGGCCTTTTCGTATAAAATCAACCTGGCAAGTCTGACTCGAGGCACTTCAAGCCGAGTCCCAATCATTATTTTTCATATTGGCAGTGCTTTGTTGCCCAATTTCCCCAAGGAAACATCCTTCCACTTTTTCACCTCTTCCGAGTCACATTATCAATTAGCTCTGCATGACTTGTTTACTTGCACCCTTTGTATCAGTGTGCCTTGATTATTCCAACAAGATTATTAATTATCCCAAAATCCAGCAATTAATAACATCATGAATAGTGTTGAAATAATTAAGAATTCAAGTTTTTCAACTATTTATCTCATAATTACTTACCTTTAACTCATCTGGACGAAGGTGTCAAATCGCTGTACAGTACTATAGTACTAAATCTTCATAAGGGGTGGGGGGGGGAAACCTTACTATTAATGCTCTAAGCTTTAGAACTGTAGATATCTGGATCTTCCCAAAGCTTGTATACTGTTTTACAGTATCAAAATTTTTCGTCAGTAACACTTCATGAATATTATTATGGTTACTGTCTTCTTGTGTAAGGGAGGCTTATTATTTGATGAGCTGCATCCGCACTGCTGCTCTAGACCTATGGGACTCATTTTCATATACGTACAGTACTGTATTCAGTACTGTAGTAGGCCTATGTTGTGGTTAGAGTAGCAGCATTCGATAACAATTAATGTTTCACTAATGTCATTGCCAATCTGAAAATGTACATGAATAAGTAGTGCAAGAGATGGAATTAATAATATTGAGTTAGAAACTTAAGTGCACTTTCTTTTCAACTGATGGTTTAAAAAGATCCATGTTAAATTCATCTTAACTCCTCCAAGAAAAATAATAATGTTAGTTTGGTAATGGTTAATAATCACATTGATATAAAATAGGGTGCAAATGACTGATCTGACCACAACTTGCTTAAATAAGATTGGTACTAAATATGGAGAATAAAAAATAAAAACAACTATGAAGACTATAATTACCTTTATTTTTCTGTATAATTCCTGCAGGTCACCCAAGTGTCCTGTTCCACTGCCTACTGGTTCACCTCTGCATTGCACATTTTACCCTCAATATTTTTAACACAGCATTCTGTACTCAGGAAACTCACCAGTACCAATGGTACAACTTGCACACAACTGGAGAACCAAAAGGTTTGTGATACCCAAGGGTTGTGGTGTTTGTGGACTCTACCTATAATAAAAAGCTGGCTCTTACCTTTGATGAACTTTGAACCCTCAACAAAACATAACACAATGAAAGGGAACCCTGTTTTTCCTCACACAACTACTGACTGTGCAAGGCTCTCAGTTGTCAACGTAACCTGAAAAGTTACACATTACTTTTCTCACTTCCATTAAAATTATCCAGGGTTCCCAACTATTGCAAACAATCCTAGGCATGGCAAACACAACACTTAGAAACCTTCACACATTTACATAAAACTGATAATTGTCAGCTGTTTGTGTCAGGATTTCAAAGTTTTAGCAATTAATACTAAATACAGTACTGTATATAAAGTTTCATTCAAACCTAAATATACCTGAAGCCTCTACAATGGCCTATCTTTATTTATGGTACAGTACCAACATCTGTATCACTTTCCAACTTTAACATATACTGTACATCACTCATCAGTATGGTCACCCTCTTTTTTGGTGTTCCATTATCATTCACTTATAAAGTTCTGTACTTTTTCGTCACCTTATTTTCTCAGACATGACCTGAATAATATAATCTCCCTAACTATATGTACAAAACAAGAACCAATTATATGCTTATGTATAATATTCTAACTTTGTGAAGGAGACCAAAGCTAGACATTATAATACAGCTGTACACGTAGAAAATAAAAAGACGCATTTCACACATCTACAATCGTACTGGTGTACAATATTTTCCGAATACTGTATGTCCAGTGAAGGCCTTATATCGTTCACTTTACATGGCCCAACATAAAAAATATATACAATGAAGATCAGGCCTCAAGGTTATTGGGTTTAATCTCTCTGTCACCATCCAAGAAAATTCATTCCTTTTATCACTCAAAGGTTTCTCCATAATGAAGTTTATTTTTTAAGCTAAAAGTCTATTTCTTAAGCATATACAATACCATAATCTTAAAATGTTAGTAATTATATAACATCACTGTAGTTCAATGAACTTTAAAATCACTAATGCAAGTTGTCTTGCATACAAATATTCATAATTGCCCAAGGTGTGGCTTGGATAATGAAAGAGGACTACCACAACTTTCATGAGTTAATCACTATCTGTACACTTTTTCTTTCTTTTTGTAGCAGTTCTGAGCAGTCTTGTGAAGTGGGTCTTGTCGCATGCTGCTGGGAACCCTGCAATACAAGTCAGCTGGTGATGGTGAAACACAAGCAACTTTGAAACTATACTGTATACCAGGGGTGGGCAAAGTGCGGCCCGCGGGCCACATTTGGCCCGCCAAATTATTTCTGTGGCCCGCCACTGCATTTGGCAATCAGAAAAAAAAATTCTTATTAATTACAGAAAGGACAATTTTGGAAGTTGGGTGGACATAGCAGCAATACTGGCTCGTCGCTGTTAACCTGTGGCCCGCGAAGTGTGCCACCATTCATGAAGTGGCCCTCCATCAAAAATAATTGCCCACCCCTGCTGTATACTACAGTATACATGTTTGCTGCCTAAAATGCCAAGCCTGTGAGTGACATACTGTTTGAGACTATCCATCTTCCCAAGATTAGCTACCCAGGGCAGGCCTCGACATTATGGTTGTTTAATTTGCATAATTCACATGAATTATTATTCTGGTAACTAAAGTTTGCTTCAAACTTATCTGACTGACCATAGTAAAATTCAAAAAATTATTCTGCTCTCTCTGGTAAAAAAATAAGTGCAACAACCAGTATTTCTTTGGCTGACAGCAAACAAACTTTACAATTGTTCCTTTTAACTGACATCATCTCATCATTATCAAACAACTAAAAATAATTTGGGGTAAGAAAAACTAACACCTATGTGAAAAAGTTATTTCTGAAGGTTATGTCGAGCTCTGCATGTTAGCATCCACGTAATTCTAGGATAAATATGGGATCTTATTTAACATTATTCACAAATTGTAACATTCTCATAGACACCAATAATGATACCTATACAATAGATATCTTTAGGTTATATACACAAATCTGTTATGGCTCTATAATCTATACTGTCTTCAATTAAACTGTTACACCTTCTAATATTTCAAGGGACTACATCCTATTACTGTATCAGGTGTTAACATTTGTATCACAAGACTGTACTGTACTGGGAGAATACAGACTCTACTTTCTTGAATCTTAAAGCTTAAGAGAAAATATTAAAGATTAAAAAACAAATTAAGATTCTATGACAATTTGGCAAAAAATATTTTAGAACCATGAAAATAAAACCTATCAGCGTCTATCCTATACACTAACAAAAACAGTGTGCCAGGTTTGGCAAATCTTGTTTCTAAGCAATATTATTTACATTCAAAATAATACTGAAAAGGAAGTCTAACGCTGCCAGCCAAATGACAAACCGAAATCAGATATCCAATTAAAAAAATAATATTAATTAATTATATGGTAGAGTGACAATTTAGTAAAGCAACCAAAATTCTTAATAAACATCACAACCTTCCAAGCAACACAGAAATCATACTCTGGCATAGACAACTACTATACGGTACTGTACTTTACACTGTACTGTACTTTATTTCTAACAAGCAAAGGTTAGTAAAGGCGATATTAATTTTAGGACTTAAATTCTGAACTGTTAAAAATACCTAAGAAATTAAAGTAGAGGAAGCAGACACTGTACAGCTCATACACAGCTACATTACACAAATTAAACCATTATACAGTAAAAGTCCAAAAATCCGGATGCCAGAAATCCGGACCACCCGAGAATCCGGACTTTGCGAAAACTCATATATATATATATTTTTTTTAGCGGGCTTTTGTGTGTATGTGCGCATGCGTGAGCGCCACAGCTGCACAGCGACAACAAGCGACCACGTGGTCGCCACTTTAAAACGAGCAATCAAACTGTGACAACATATGTAATTTTGAGTCCTACTCTTTCCATTTACAGAGTACTGTACAAGCCCATAATAATGGCTCCTAAAGTAGATAAACTTCGCTGTGTGAAGAGAAAGAAGAACACGTTGAAATTGAGTGACAAACTTGAAATAATTAAGAAACTAGAACCTGGTGTCAGCAATACTGTTCTAATGGAAACATACGACATTGGAAAGTCTACAATTTATGATATAAAAAAGGCAAAGAATAAAATTCTAGAATTCACAGCTTTTCATTAAAACTGCTCGTTTTGATAAATGAAGCGTGCTATATTTGCTAATGAATAAACTGTCAAAATGTACCTGTTCATCTCTTCTTTATTCCTCCTTAAATTTGAATTTTAAAAGTACTGCCCGAGAATTCAGGAAAATCCGAAAATCCGGACCGACCCAATCCCCAAGCAGTCCGGATTTTTGGACTTCTACTGTATTGAGGTGCCAAATTTAAGTAGAATCAGATTGGTCTCCTCTTTGGCTTAAATGCAAAAATGGGAGACAATGATGTGGAGGAATTTGAGGGTTAATGGGCTTCTAGAACTAATATTTTACATTATTACTTCTTTCAAAGCAGTATGCAATCTGTTAATTATTTGAGAGATTGCCCCTGAGATTTAGTCAAAAGTGACAAATAAAACTTTAGTATGTCCATAAAATTTTAGCTCCCTAGACTATTTTTTTACATGAATTAGGAGAAAATCTAAGGGACTCTTGTGGCAAAATTTACCGACAAATACAGTAAAACTTGTCTTTATAAGACCCCCCCCCCCCCCTTTATTTTAGGACAACCAAGAGAAAACCAACTTATGTTGGTAAATTTGTTAAACCAACCTGCAGGGCTTTTCTTTACATATCTAGAGAGCATTGTGCAAATGATAAAATGTGACTTGACAAGGAAGAGCTGTTCAATTATGTTAAAAGGATGCCACAAAAAGGAGATCTATTGACCAAACATAATATCTGGCACCTCTGAGCAAGGACTGAATCATCATCTGGAAATAATATTTACAAAAGCAACAAACACACGAGAACAATGAGAATATTAAGTACGTATTCTACTTCTAAAAAGTAACAAACTAATGTAATCACAAAAGGCATAAAAAATAGATGTTCATGCAAAAACAGTTATACTGTACAAGAAGTACTGTATACAATTTTATTTTGGCTTCTGTGAACACAAGAGTCAGAAGTTTTGACCAGTTCTTGTACTGGGGAATCACTCAACTATACCTTGCATCTGTGATCACAACTGATTGGGTATAAAATTGACTGTCAATTCCAACAGACAAAATACCATGTTGTACAGTTTATACATCAGCCACAGAGGGATCATCCGCCCAGAGGTCATACCAGGGACCACACAGATTTCCAGTGGTAAATGAAACCTGATCCAAGCGAGACACACCCTCGGGGCATTTGAGACGACGATTCATGAAGTCGCTGTAATTAAATATGTTGAGACTCCCACCATACTGCCAAGGATTTGAACTGCGATGATGATACTGTGGTTGATGGTAGTCTTCATGACGAAGATTTTGTGGAAGTGGATGCTGTGGGCGAGAGGAGTTCTTCTTTGGAGGAAGTGGGGGTGATGTAATAGAATCGTAGGAAATTATGGGAGGGTTTGAGGGGTGAGCAAGATAACTGGGCTGAGGTGTCTTCAAAACATCAGTACTTTGTTGGCATGACTGTTCAGTATTTACATGGGGATTGCGGCTTTGTCTGAACCGATTTATTTTGAATGAAATTGTGCTTCTTGAAGACTTATCTTCACCTTTTGGTGGAAGTTTGGGTGGAGAGGAGGAGGAACGTTGGGCTGGAGATGCCCATGTAAGAGAACGAGCCAATTGTTTCCTGGATTGAGCTCGAGTGATGGTTTTCCGTAATTCACGACGGTGATCACTAACTACCATATAGATCTCCTCTTCATCCTCCTCATCACTTCCCGTTAGAGTACTATTTCCGGAGGAAGAGTTCTGTGGAGACATTTCATTTGGGATAATCTGAGTAGATGACACAGGAGACTGTTGTTGTTCACCTTGTGGGATAGGCATTGGTGGCCGGATAGAGTAATCAACTATTGGTTGTTTGAGAAAGGAAGTGGGTGGTGGAGGAGGCTGGAAGGGAGGAGGGTCAGGTATGTCTGTATGTAGATCCACTAGTGATGAGTGTCTCCAGTCCTCAGACCAAACATCCTCATAATCAGCACTCTGGAGATCATCTGGGATTCCTGTGCACGAGTCCATGCCAAGACAAAGTAAAGATGAGCTTCGGCGGAGTGTTCTTCTCCCTCTGTCTTGTTGTCTCCCACGTTCCCGCTGAGCAGCAATCTTCTGGGCACAGGGGGAATTTGGAGACACCTTGGTGGTTTTTCTACGAGCAATAGTGACAAAATGGTCTATGGAGAACGAGGGGAGAGAACGGTCTCGATAGGGTTTCCCTTTGAGAGTTTTACTTTTCCGTCCTGGTGTGGGGAGTGTCACGGTTGCATCCTGGAGTGGTGGAATGTACTGAAGAGACCTTGCCTCACTGGAACTGTATGACTCAGAGTTTGGCAGACATGGAAGGGATACAGGATCTGAGCCATAGGGCAGTGCCAGAGCAGATCTCAGCCACCGTGAGCTGAGACTGTTCATGGAATGTGGGGCAACTCTGGTGGAGCAAAGGGATGACAGTGAAAGCAAAAGAAAACACAAAGGAAAGAAACAAAAAATGCAAACAAAAAGCATAAGCAAGGCATATACCTTTACATCAGTTTGACAACATAAACATTTATGAGGTGCATGTAGCAAAGACATTAATAATGAATGTTAGTAAGATCTTACCCATTAAGATCATCATCAGAGTAGTCAGCATCAGGGTTAACTGGAGGTCGCATGCTGCCACTTTCGTTGCTGAAGCCGCTATCATCACTCGAGTGGAATGACGAAGAATTTCCACTTCCTCTCTTCTGAAAGCGCGTAGAGAGGTGGGAGGATGCGGCAGCTGTCGTGAATGAGCGACTCAAGGTCATTGAGGAACCAGGAGTGAGGGAGCTACTGGAAGTGAAAGAATTTGAACCAGGCCGGGAATAGGTCTGGGGCTGACTAGGGGACTTCTTGAGGGTTGGAGCAGAAACTCGAGGAGGCTGAGGTTCCATGAAGGCATGGTTGAAGAGGACTGTGTTAACACTGGAGGAGACTGAGGTGGAGGTTCTTAATGTCTCATGGGAAGATGCTACATGCGATGATTTGGAAGAGGCGGTAGATGAAGTGGAGGGTTGTGACATTGGAAGGGCCGTGGAAGAAGTGGAGGTACTGGCATTGGAGGCGGTGGCGGGACTAGGGGCTCGGAACTGAAAAAAAAAGTTATCAAATTATGAAATATTCGATGTGATTAGAATTTTCTCGCTATACATGTAAGGACATTTTTTAAAATTTCATTCCAAAATATCAATGCATTCAACATTTGGATTATCTGGTGAGCTTCTCAGAGAAAAGAATGCTGACTGACAGACAGACTCGACCTTCCAATACTTTCTGGTGTTTAAAAATACTGACCTTATAAATAAAGAAGACAGCTTATAAATTACACTAAAATATTCCTAATCAACTGTTATCATGACCTAGATTTAAATCTGCTCTCAAACTATCCCACTTGCAGGATGCTTGTCAACTGAAGGGCTGTTCCATCAGCGGGAAGCACACCCAACAATATACCTCACTACGTCAGACATGCATTCTTGAAAACTATGACATTAAGTGAAACAATGTACTGTACTGTACAGAAAATACAAGTTTACCACAGACCTAATGATATATAGAACATATGGATTATATTCCTGTTCCTGGGGGACATGTCTGGTTAAAAGTTTCTCACCAAATTATAAATGTACTGTACTGTACTACCTACATTATATCATTATAAAACATTTCGGCTAAGGATGGGGATTTACATAATTGCTCTAAAGACCGCTGGATAGTTTTCTTCTTATGTTTGTACAGCTCATTATAGAAGTTAAAGCCATTGATCAGTAACTTATGTTTCTTTGGGGACTATTGGTGTGTTACCTGAGGTTAGCACAGTGCACCTACATATTATGTGACTAAAGTTAACAGTTACCCCATTTTAGCAGGGAGTATTTAGGCAAAAACTTTTGTGTGTATTCTCCTCCTGTAGCCATAGTTGTCTTAAAATAATGTATACAGTACCAGTAAATGTGGAGTAAATAAAAATAATACCAATGAATAAATTACAAAAAAAATACTATATTGCCAGACTAGTAAATAAAAGCCAAACGAAATTTTAACACAGTCACCATTTGCATATATTCCCTGGTTCACCATAGCAACGTAGACGCTACCTCCGCCGATTCCCTGCCAAAGCTCCCCCCCACATGCCTCGCCTCCTTCCGCTCTCGCACTGATCAAGCTAACTCATGTGCAAAGTAATGTATATTCCCTTTATGTGTTTGCCCCTACGACAATTACTTCTTTTACTTTGTTCACAATATGTATGAAGGATAGTGTGTGCATGTAACTGAGTAAAAATAAATGAAGAAAGTTATGTATATCTACCCAAAAATACGAGATGAAAAACAACCATAACACCTCACAGCTTGGCCCAGTAGCCTGGTGGTTACAGTGATGAGTCTAACCTGGCTACAATGCTGCTAGCAATGTTAACAGATGCAAATGTGAAAAGAAAGTTATCTGTAAATCTTCTTTTGTATCAGGTCTTTGAAGATTTTAAAATAAATGTTGCAGGTATGGCATTAATACAGTAGATTGTAATGCTTGTAAGAGCTCAGAAATGGTTACTGCTGCTACCTCTGAACAGTTGGGTGTCTGCCATATGGACGTTAATTGTCTTGGGTTATCATCATCATTACAGTAGTTATAAATCGAGCTTTTATATTTACAATAATTATTTTTTTATTTAATTAAAATAATAAAAATAATGTGTTTAAGTAAGCAATAATTTTTTTTTTAATTCTTGAGTTGGGTTAGGTAGAATTTAGCCGACTGGAGACAACAACCGAGGGATTCATTAGCTTACGAGGGAACGTAACTTCACATGTAGAATGCAGGCTGATTTTTTTTTGCCATTTTTCAGGTAAAAAGGTGCTTCGTATATGCCATAAAATACAGTATGTTTAAATATATTTACCTTATTTACCTGATGGTCACCCAAGGGTTTGTACTAAAAATACCCAAGTAATTTAAGACATGTTAATAGCTTTTTAATACACAGTACTGTACATTCTTGGAGGAAATATTAGTCTGTACCTTTTTAAACTCGGTGTGACTGTTCACTACATTTCTACTGTATAACAAACAAAACAATTCAGGTACTGATTTGATGTATTGATTCATGTTCAAGTATCTTCATATCTGGTGGGTTTGAATTTACGAAGAAAATATTATTACTGTACTGTAGTTTTTCGAGTGAAATGTGTACACTATACCTACAGTAAGTTTGGTGTGGTTGTTGCAGAGATTAGGCTGTTGTTCAGTGTTCTAAGACTGTTGCTTCCGCATTACTTATACAGAGTGAGTGTGTGTGTGTGTGTGTGTGTGTGTGTGTGTGTACGTATATATATATATACAGTATATATACAGTATATATACAGTATATATATATATATATATATATATATATATATATATATATATATATATATATATATATATATATATATATATATATATATATATATATATATATATATATATATATATATATATATATATATATATATATATATATATATATATATACCGTATAATATTATTTCTTATCTAATCCATCAACATCATATAAGCGAATCAACATGTAACAATATAACATAGAGTGAGATATACCTGTACTGTATAAGGAAGGAACCCAGTTATCCATTCTGACCAGGGAATGTGCGACCCTTCATTTGTGAGGCAAGAGCTCTATCACTGAGCTACACAGTAATTGTTTCATTCTTCTTATGGTAAAGAGCTTTAATTAAGGCTTTAAACTACAAAATGTTGTTGAAGTTAAGGTTTATCTACAAAGAACTTTTCTCTTTGGGCTGGAATGCCAAAATGTTCTTGTACTAATTTTTATTAAGCCACAAAAAATATTAATATTGTACTGTACACACATTGGTGTTCCTGGAGATATTAAGATGAAAGTAATGAATGGATTTAGGTGTTTGCAGAAAGCTGATTGAAACCAATCACATTAAAAATTTAAATACTGTTGCAGTGTCATCAAAACCATATTCTTATTTTCTATGGTAAAATAATATATCACTGATAATTAAGTAAGTCCTCTCACTATTCCTAAGTACAGTACTGTATATACAAGACAGTCACTAAAGGTGCTTCGGGAATGACTCACCTGCACAGCATGAGCACTGGCGGACCTGTGTTTGGAGGGGTAGCGGTGGGTGTGAACATGGGGAGGCTGGCTGACATCACCACTATGTCCGTCACTGCTACCTGCAGTTGGGTTGCTGGTCTGGGAGTCATCTACGCTATTTCTACTCTTTAGATGCTGAGTGCTCATGGAACTATTCCATCCAAGGTAAGGAGGTAAGGGTACAGGGTCAATATGAAGTGCCATGGTTTCAAGGACAGAAATACATAATTAAATATCTCTTCCTGGCTCTACAGATCTATTAGGGATTTATACAACTGGACAACAGCTACAGGTGGAATAGGCTCTTTCATCACATAGGTTCAACTTACTAAAAGTCTGAGTTATTTCTATTCTTCTCTGATTGCTACTGTTAAGTACATTTTGGATGATAAATGATATCCTCTTCCAATTTTAATATTGTACAAAGTTCTTGGATAAAATGAAAAGCTCTTCTCACTCTCATTTTAACTTCGATTTAACATACAGTACTATATTAATTTGATTTTTAAGTACAAAATCAGTATCCTGTATGAAATATATTCCTTTCTTTACATTTTACTGAGCAATGTTATATCAACTATTTTATGTTTTCTAATACTGTATTTTGAGTACTAAAGATAAATGATAAAACTTATTTATAATTTCAAACATCTGCTTACTATATATTCTACATACATACAGTATGCATAATTATACTTTAATGTCTGTACAGTATAATTCAAACAGTTCAATGGGATTACAGCTCAACAAAGTCTCCAAGTACAGAAACCATCATAATAGGTAATCATATTATGTAGCATGGCTTAAGAAAAATTTTACTTGTTCCTTAAAGTTTTTCTTACACAACACAGCAAGGGGACCATCTAGCATGATACAAGGCTGGAACAAATAGGAATCCATTGGTTGATGGGGTCAGGGACTTTACACCAGGAACACATATCTGGTACAGTACAATATGCAAAATAAGGAAGTGTAAAAGACCCAACATACCCTAGAGCAGAGTCATCCTCTTCGTGGATTATTTCTGTGTATGCAACAGGGAACCAGCCACACCGCTGGGTTCGCAGATTCTCTCCGTATTGCCACCCTTTGTTCTTCTCACCTACAGGTGAAAACCAGGTGCATTAAGTGGGTCCTTATGATTAAAATAGAAATAATGATATCTTGCAACTATGTACAGGTATAAGAAACTTTACTCTTGTGATTCATAAAATATAGAAACTTGATTTTTCTTGGAAATGACAAATTTACCACAGGATGTCTTAAAAGTAAGATTCTACAGAAAAACATTCTAGGAAGAACAGGAAGAAAAAATTGGACATCCAAAGAACACGGATCAGAAAAGATTCAAAATCTGTTAATACATTCTATCATCCAAACCATAAGTACAAACCCTAATGATTAACATTTTGAACTAGTGTCTCACTTAACCTTTTCTTTAAAAAGTTAGTTTAAAAGAAAATGAAGGTTTGATCTAGCAAACCCATTTTAAGAATGATTCTGTGAGGGGTGACTTATACTATATATAATGTGCCATCAAAGCTTCAGTGTTTGGCACAAGGAGAGGCAGGAGGGCTGAACTAAAGATTACTTTACTTTTACTGTACTTTTATCCTCTTCACCACTGATCGGCTCGTTAGCCGCTTGGGCGATCAGTCACCATCTCCCATGACAACCATCACCCCAAACCATTAAGGGAAATCAAAAGTAAAAGATTACCACTAAACAGTGCTATTCTAATCAAATTATGAGACGTGAAGTTATAAAATAGTTCACACAAAGAATTCAACACAATTTAACTCTGAAAAAAAAAATAAATAAATAAAAATAAGGGGGCAGAGGAAGGAAGGAGTGGACTAAAGAATTGGAGGGAGAACGATTCTTATCAAACTGATTAAAGACTCATATTCCAGTATAGTGTACTATAGCATGAAAGAAGACCATCTTTATGATCTCCACTGTAATACATGAAACTTTTTTTGAGACAATGCAACAAAAAGTATTGTTTACATAATATCTTGACTGATACTAATTCAGATACCGATGAGACATGCTGTAAACACCTAAGGAGATTCTGCCTGAAGGAATAGCTTAAACATAATGCTGAAACCATAGTTTAGGACTGGGACTGGAGAGAGTGACTCATATTTATGCCCCCATGTCAACTTCAGAAACCAAGACCATTTAATAAATATAAAGTTTCATTTACTTTATATATTTCAGATGCTAAATAGTATCGTAAAACTCAATGAAAAGCGCAAATGTTTCACCAAATTAATTTCTGTGGTGAGCAATTAATGCCCCACCTTTTCAACTTCACTTGAACCAAGCAGATTCCAAAATAGAGCTACCATGTAAATCTGTCTCTGTATATATCCCAAACATTTTTATACCTCATGTGATTAAATTCAGTATGTTTGCCTAATTTCATGCATGGGACTTGTAATCCTGGACTAACCTTTTGCACGTTCATATCCACCAGGCCCTATATGACCAAACCACATTCAATGGTACCTATCCGATGAATGAGCTAGGTTTTTGTAAAATTAGTTTGGATTCATTTGCACCATGATGAAAGTAGCCCTACAAATTGACTTGACACACTCTTACTTTTATCCTCTTCACCACTGATCGACTCGTTAGCCGTTGGGGCGATCGGTCACATCTCTGTTACACACTGTTGGCAAGTACTGGGCATGCACCGGCTCCTGAATGTACCTGAACCTGCTCCAGTGTTGGTCAAGTCTGGTCTTGAAAGAGCTCACACTCGGTGCCGTCACAACACTTTCTGGTAGATCGTTCCAAGAGTTCACAACTCTCACTCCGATAAAGTTTGCCCTCACAGTTTTCTGGACTTGCGGCTTCTTCAATCTTGAGCTGTAACCCCTTGTGGGGCGAGCGTCCACCAGCTCCAAGTAAAGACACTTGACTGAGTAGTGCCCCTTGAGATGCTTACACACCTCAATTAGGTCACCCCTTGCCCGTCTGTAGTATAAGCTAGGCAAGTTCAGGCACTCCAATCTCTCAGGGTAGTTGAGGTGCCAAAGTGCAGGCACCAGTCTGGTGGCCCTCTTTTGAACATTTTCAACCAACTGACAGTCCCTAGCATATCTCAGGGACCAGACGGGGTGAAAGTACTCCAGATGGGGAAGCAGTTCACTCTTGAAGATCATTATGAGGGACGGACCGTCTAGATATCTGAACGACCTTCTTATAAGACCCAATAATTTATTTGCCCGATTTACCTTCTTCTCGCAATGGCCCGAGAACTTCAGCTCATTGTCAACATAAACACCTAGGTTCTCACATTGAGTCTCAAATAGTGCAGTTTCTTCATCCCATCGGGACACATGATACACCTCCTTACCGTTGGTACGCCCCAGGTGCATCCTCTTACACTTCGTGACATTGAATCTCAGCAGCCATTTCTTCGACCACTCTTGGAGCTCACAGAGATCCTTCTGCAGCTCTTCACAGTCCGCATGGTTCTTGATTTCCCGAAATAACTTGGCGTCATCGGCAAACATTTGTATAGGGGAGTGTACAATGTCAGGCATGTCATTCATGAAACAAACAAACAACAGCGGGCCCAATACATTGCCCTGTGGTACCCCACTTGTGACAGGTACAGATGATGATTTCGTGCCATTAATCACCACACACTGCTTGCGGTCATGTAGAAAGTCTTCTATCCACGCAAGGACATTTCCCCGAATTCTGTACCCTTCCAGTTTTGATTTTCAGCCTTTCGTGGGGTACACTGTCGAAAGCCTTGGCAAAATCTAGGTATATAATGTCGATATTACCACCCCGTTCCAGAATATAGGTCCAAATATCCATTACTTTGAGCGATTGTGTTAAGCAGGAGCGCCCCGGCATAAAACTGTGTTGGCAATCCTTGCACTTGCACTTGCACTTCAAATGGATTTTGACTATTTATACCAATGACATCAACCGAACATCTGAGAAAATTTGGGTCAAATAATGTTTAGAGATAGAATCTAAAGACTGTGTTAAGAACTGACAAAGTGAAGCCAAAAAAAAGCCACTTTGTATTATTCAAACACTCAAATGTGCAATACTGTACATGAAGACTTCTAGACACCAGGAACAAGGAGCTATTGAAGGCTCAAAATATAGCAGAAAACCGAGACGGTGGAAGCAAGAATATCCTCTTTTGAATGCTGGGGTATAAGAAAGTGCTTAAACCTACCTCAAGGTGTGAACCTAGTGTCTGCTAAACCTGGCTGGCTGGGCCATGAACTTGAATCATGATTTGTATTTGGTTAAAATCTGTTTGGGTAATGTTTTCTGCCACTAAAACTGCCAAATCCCTTTAACAATGGTAAGCTCTGCCACAGGGTATTTGGTAATCTAATCCTCAGAGAGAACACATTGATGACTCATAGGATATTTGAATAAATGATCTTAAAATTTTTGCTCTTGGACCATCATCACATTGTCTGGTTTTATACATATAAAAAACTACTGAATCCTGTTTATTATTTGTGCAGATGGCACAAAGTAGCCATCAAATTCTGAAGTGAAAAAAAATCTTCACTTCCTGTACCATCAGTCAATTTCCTGGTTATTGCCATTTTTATTATCTCTCTCGAAATGGAAAGTATCCATATACAGCAGTATACAGTATTACTGTACATTTGATTATAAATTTCTACTTTTGAAAGTAGAGGACTAAAACTACTGTATGTTCAGTATACCATATACAACAGAGGTTAAAGTGCAAATGAACACAGTAATGCATGATAGCAAAGATTATAATGTTAATCTAATAAGTCACTCAAAATACTGTATATAAAGCAGCAGTAAAACTTAAGGTGAAGACATGACATGGTTGTGAGAACATACCAATAAGACCGATGAGGTCCATTTCACCGAAGGAGAGTTGGTTGTCACCGCTGGGTGAGTAGGAGTAGAGTGCCCTTGCCATAGCCCTTCGTCCTAGATCCTCTGGTATTGCCATAGACCTTCGTAACATCATGTGCTCCGCTGTAACAAACAAACTCAGTCATATCAGTGTTTCATTCCCAGACAAAGCCAATACACTGTGCTCTGTTACACAATCTACCATTAATAAACTAGTAGAGATAATTATACTTTGATGTAACGCATAAATTATCAATTATTTAAATTTCTGTGATCATGAAGGAACCCTGAGTCATGGAATTCTGTCCTTTCTTCAGTGTCACACATTCCGAGGGAGGCTATCAATTTACAGTAGTTTTTAAAATAATTATTTTCACTACTTGTCAGATGGGTAGTTAGTCAGTTCTTTTTTACAACCTTCACTCTCCAGTGTTTAAAAGGCAGTAGATAGCGCAAATCATTATTAGCTCACCTTAAAAAATCAAAGACTGTTAGATTCTATTATCTTTGACTGTGTACTGTGCAGTCATAAATGTTTTATTGCCATAACCTTCCAAAAGTACCACTAACTCTTGGGAAAGAAATCTGGTACTTTTTTTTTATAACAAATACAACGCACAGGAAGAGATCAAACAAATGCCATAGTCAAATCTGTTCACTATGGCATACCTTTATCAAAGACTTAAGTTATTTAAAGCAGAATAATTCAAACTGATTGAGGATTTATGACAGGAAAAACACTTTGTGGTAAGGAGTTACACAGAGTGCTAGTCTATGGCCTAAATGAGTTGTGGCAAGCAGAAGTTAAAAAAAAAAAAAATTAATTCAACAGAGAAATTATGGTCCCTCCCAGACATCCTAATAAACAAGCATGATTGTAACCACTGCTTGACCCTGTACCAAATTTAATCCATTTATCCCAGCAAAATACTGTACTGAATACTAAAAATGAATAAAAAACAAGAAAATAGTGAATGACTAACAAGAGGAGCAGATTTGTGTACGTACAATACGGGTACGTAATTGTATCTCTATTTTCTACAAAAGTTTCATAAGGATGATTACAGTAATCCAGACATTAGTCTTAAAGGCTAACATTAAACATCAATCATGTCAAAGCTGCTGCAAGGAATAAAAATACTCATCACTTACGAGTAAATCTATGGTCAAGGTTGAACTCGGACCTTGCTCGGGTCAGAGGTCGTGAGGGGATATCATCTGCAATGTTGCTAAGATCGAGACAAGAAGCATCAACAGACCGTGCCTTCCTCATCTGTGATGTCACTGACATTGCGTCATCCTCTAGGCACATCGGTGTTGAGTAAATACCTTCATCCTGTGGGAGGAGTGAGGACTAAGATGATAAAATGTTAATGGGCTAAGTGAGTAGTCATTGAAGGTCTGTTACATATCAACATGGGAGAAAAACAAAGTGTAGCATATAATCTGGTCATATAAAGAATGGGGATAAGTTTAAGTTGTTCAGGGCATGTGAATAGATCAAGCTGAAGGAAAAACTTCTCATTGTGTATTTTAGAACTATTGAGTAGCTTACCTGAACAAACTGTCAGGCTTCTAAACATAGAGTACTGACTTCTGGGTAGTGGCAGGGAGGAGACAATGGGCAGATCAAGACATGGCCCTGATTATCACAAGCCCATCCAATTCTAAACAAGTAGTGTACTGTACCTGTATGGTCAAACCAACTGATGATCTGGTCACAAAGACTTGATTCCTTGGTCCAGAACTGACTTAAGTAACATTTGTAAATTCTATATTGTGCACGATTTTTACACAGTTAACACCTGACTAAAAATGTCGACATCTCCTTGGAAGACTTGATAAGAAACAGACTTTGAATCTTATGCCATCTCACTAATACAGTGTAAGGGTTAATACTGTACATCCCTTCATGTATTTCTATGTTCACAAAATACAGTATTTTGATATGTACACAAATGTAAATGGACATGAATGTATGTTCTTATAAAAGGGTGGTTCCCAGAGGCTGATGTTGAGTAGCTCTTGCCCTAGTGTATATCCCTGAATAATTTGAATCTGGAAGTAGGTAGAACCTTTACTATGTGTTTATCAAAGAGAAGCTCCTTCACAATTTGTTGAATAGAAGTTAACCCCTCTTACCTTGAGTCTGAAGAGGAGTTCCCACACAATATGCCTAATGACTGTGTACCGTTCTTTGGGAATACAAAGGAGTAGCTCCTTTGCATTGGGTATGGATAAGGGCAGTCCCTTAATTTGGGTTTGGATGATGGTAAATACAAACCTTGGATTTCAGAATGGTACAATTCCTACCTTTAGTACCCATACCTTGGGTCTGGCGGAGGGTAACATGCTTCGTATGCGGTCTGGTAGTGTCTCACGGGTCTTTGCCACATCTTGCCAGTTGTCAAGGGTGTGCTGCAAGAGGTTAGAGCCCTTGGCATGGTATGCCAGGTAGTGCTTGGCCAATGAACACTGACGCTCGAGGATAAACCCATAACGACGCCTCTCTTGGGTCACAGCCTGCAATGGATGAGATGTTAGAAGTCATGTGGGGTCAAATTAGAGGGGCAGGAGCAGTATGGCAATCATATTAGTGGAGAAACATTATTGTGGGGTCATGCTAGGGGTAGAGAGGGTAATGTTACATTTAGGCTCAAAAGTGGCTGACTAAGAAGGAGAGGAGCTCCTGTAAGAGGTGAAGTGGGCTTACATTGATTGGTGTTGCTGAAGTCACAGACAGGAAATAAAGTGAAGCAGAACTTTTGTGGGGGGGCATAAAATGAAAAAAAAGTTGGGTATTTTTGCATGAGTTCACACAACTTTCCTACCCCAATTCTATTATCATATTCGAAAAAGACGTCAAATTTTAAGATAATTTTCGTCTATTACATAACCGTCGCAAACGTATAATAACGGAGATAGCGCATGCTAAATCTTTCTCTATTTTCTTCCATCAATCTTCCGCCATTATCCCCCTACCCGACCTCCCACTCTGTGAGTTTCCTTCATAAATCATCACACTCATGTGTTTCCGTACGTCACGCGGCCAATCAAAAGCTTCTTTTTCTTTTTTGCTACCAATTAAAATGAATTGTGCTTTAATTCGCAGTATTTTTGCCCAATCAGATTCGATTGTGATTTTGGGTCTCTCATATTTTAAAATTCAAATTCATTTCCGACCATGGAAGTCTGCGATGGGTGTCACTTCAATTATATGGAGTTGATTGTGTGTTTTGGGGAAAAATCGAACAATCAACAGCATTTTTTAGTTCTCATGGTGTTCTCCCGACCTCAGTAAAGTATCCTAAGTGTAAGAACGAGTGTAAATATCGCCAAGACCAACATAGTTGGCATTGTAGTAAATCCTATGAACCAGAACCAGGCCAATAAGGTAAGAAATAAGTGATTCAATCATATGGTGAGTTAGGTCAGGTCAGGTTAGGTGAGGTTAGGTTAGATCAAGTTAAGTTAAGTTAGGTCATGTTAGGTCAGGTTATTTTGGTTAGGTTAGGTCATCCCAAAAAAGGTTTGGTTTATATGACTTTCCAGTGGGTTTTTTTTTTTTTTGTATTCTCTTGGCCATGATTTTTGTCGGAAAACGCCCCACACAAAACCCCCAATAACTAAAAACAGGCAATTTCCGACGGAAATCAAGGTCAGAACTAATCAAAACACAAAAAATACACTAGAAGAACATACTGTAGTTTTGACTTTCTAACAGAGTTGTGTGAACTAATGCAAATTTACCAAAAGTTGAAGCAGTTCTTCGACAGTTAAAAAGAAAACTATGAAGTGAAAATAATCTTAAAAGAGATAAGTAGACGACAACAACAAGATGTCGTAATTAAGAAACAACACAGACACACCGAGGTGGTCAGTGTAGAAACACCTCGTGGCATTATAAGATCACCTGACATAACGCCTCGGTGTGACCCAAACATATACAACTCCTTTGTCGGTAAAGGTTAAAAGCCACATAAAATATTTAAACATCTCCATCTGACTTGACCAACTCGCACCTCACATTATTATGACACTCCCCGGCTGGGCAACACCACCCATGAGGAACAAAGGCGCCCACGAAAATCATTACCGAACCAGAACGCCACGCTTCTTTTTGATGTGCTGTATATAATAGTTATGTACATTATTATCCCACTAACTTTAAACTGTGCTGAAATTCACCTGAACCCGGAAGATGTGATTCTTTTAGGAAAGTTTCTGCAGGCCTTAAACATGGTATTTCCCAGATCAAGATGAATTTTAGTTTAATTCTATATAATTGGATAATAGTCATAATTCTTCTCCTATCTGGTGGCGTGAGGATGCTCACTCACACGACCAAAACGACATTGAAACAGTGCGCGCTCAACTGTCATACTGGATGTGTCACTTTGTAGTGGATGATGATGGATCCCTCCCCTACAAACGCTGTTTGTCGCTGAGTAGCCGACCCCGCGAATTCCCCAGTGTATGCCTCGTGGTCTAGGTCAACCAGCGCCACCTCACATGACGGAGGTCAACTATTAAGCCACGCCTACCTCCGCTATATTAGACCTGACCTCGTAGTGACCACTCTCTTTTCTACCTCCACCAACCAGCAAGCAACACCTCCTCCTCCTCCTCCTGCCTGGCGGCCCTCGCTCCCGCCGGCGAGCATGGCGACCCACAAGCTGGTCCTCCTCTGAGCATTCTCACCAACCAGCTCTCTCTACATTACGCTAGTAACCACGCTGCTGCCCCCCAGCACCAAGCTGCATTGTACATCCAATACAACATGTATACAGAGAGCACATTGTGAGTTTCCTTTCTCCATCTCATCCTGAGTCTGAACCAACTTCTCGTACCCCACAACTTCCTCTGAGTCTTCTGAAAACCTTTACCCAACAATCTTGAAAGCGCAACAATAATATTACTGTCAAATAACAGGCAACACTTAAAATACTTTTCCATATTTTTTTTAATGTTTTATTAATTTGTTCCTGTCAATATGTCATGTCAAGGCCAAATACTTTTTCATTTGTTGACATATATCATTCAAATTCATCCATTCCTTTTCAATTATCCAACATTCCTTTCCCTTCCTTCCTTCCTTCATTCTTTCCTCCCTTCCTTTCTTTCGTTTATTATTCCTTCTCTCTACTTTCATTAAATATATCTGCCCTCTTTCATTCCGAATTCCCTCTCTCTTCTTTCATCCAGAGAAGGAATAATGAAAAAACAAATTATAGTAAAAAGAAATGGGAGACAAGAAGGATGGAGTAAATCTGAGAAGGCAGAAAGGATGGAAGGAAGAAGGGAAAGGTGGATGGAAGTGAAGCTGACAGAAGGAAGAAAGGGACCATTAGTATCCCTTTCCTCCTATTATCACTAAACATACCTTCTCCCTCCTCATACGCCCTCCTCTTCCTCCTCACACATCCTCCTCTTCCTCCTCATACGCCCTCCTCTTCCTCCTAACACATCCTCCTCATACGCCCTCGTGAAGTTGGTATCTTATCTCCTTTCATCACTCCCTTAGTTCTTCCTCTGTACGTCTCTTACGCCACACATACACGCACATAACATTCTCTCCTTTATCGTTTCTTTTTACTGCATTCTCCTTTTAACTTTTCTTTCTATATTTTATTTAATTCTTTTTCATTTTATTTTTCTTTCATTTACCTACATCTTCCCTTCTTTATTGCATTTTATCTTTAACTGCTGTTATTTTATTTTCTCTCCTTTCACCTCATTTATCTCTATTTATCTATCTATTTTTCTATTTTCTCCGCTTCTTGTCTTTTTTCTTTCATTCGTCTCTCTCAAATCTTTACATAGTTTGCCATTAATATCCACCATTTTCTTTGTTGCCAGTGACATTTTAATCTTCGTTTTCTTTACCACTAAATTTCCTGCAGTAGCCCCAACTAACATAAATTTTACAATCAAACTTATCCATCGCTTTTACATTAAGTTAAAAAATGTGAAAAATTAATAAAATTAACAAAAGAGAATTATAATATGATGGATTGAATAAAAATATAACGAAATAATAGTAAGCCCGAAAATATACTCCTAATATAACGATAAGAAACCATTTCACAATTTTCTAAGGTTTACCTCATAAATAATTCCACTGAATTAATATTAAAATGAAGTTGAAAACTATTATAAGAGGAGACCGGGGATAAAAATTATGTAAATTAAATTATATAGCCATGTTTTAAGTAATGGAGTCTAATTTTATTACCCCCCTCCCCCCGCCCGCAATAGCCTCGGCGTAATCTTGATGCCAGTATCGTATTCCTAAAAGTTTCTACGATACGTTTTCCTCGTAACTGGAGACTACTCTCGTTGTACACGTTGATCGGTGTGTGTGTGTGTGTGTGTGTGTGTAAACATGGTCGTTCGTTAACTTTCCTACTCTGGGTAGCGGCTGGAATAAACAATGTAATTTATTACGACGTATGAAAACTACGAAATGCATAAAGTAGGAAGATATTGTAAATAAAAACAGTATAATAAACAGAACACATCAACGTATATAAATTTTCTTCTTCACCACAACACCACTTTAAATAAATAACTCAACTAAAATTCCCGTGGATCATCCTTTTTCATTTCTTGTGACTGCCATTCCTATTCAGTGAGTGACTTAATTAGTCTCATATTTCCCGCTCTGTTGGTCACGCCTGCGGTCCTGAGTCAGGCCGTGACGTCATGGTGCGCAATGAGTTATCGGATTATATTGAAAAGGTCTATTGCGCCTCCTCCCTAAAAAAAAAGTGTTGAAGACTACTGCAAATGGTAGACTTAAGGAAATTAATTACCCATTATACTTACCTACAATAAATGGTTTTGTCGAGCGTTCATTGGCCAATCTTAATTAAAACGAATGTGTTTGTTTGGTTTAAAATGATGACATATACCGTATGGCGCTGTAGTAATTACTGCACTCCATTAAAACGCCGCGTCAATTAACTCTGAAAATCATATCAATGATGGAGTCAATTGACACACATACATATACCCACACACATATATACATGCATACACCCATACATGCAGTACATACATACAGTACATACATCGACAATCCGCTTACTTTAATCCATTCGAACTATTACTGGATATCATTTTGTGCCGTCTCATTAATTCTGGCTGAAAAACAAGTGAGTGTCGGGCCACACATTATAATTTATCTCTGCCCTGTGCGGTGTTCCCAGCCTTCAACACGTTTTATGGTTCGTCCGTCCGTCTGGTCGTTGGTTCTTGCATCCGCCCGTTTATTCCTTCCCTTTTACCACTGATGGGTTTAGTTTTTACCTTTGGCGTTTATATTAACTCTCAGGACTGAATATTTATTCATCTCCTCCACCATAAAGTAGTTACTACGGGTATTAGGTACTCACATTCTGCAGGCTGGACTCGACAAAGGCGTCCATCTTGAGTTTCTCCTCCTCCAGCGCCTGGTATTGCTGGAAATAGACACATAAGAAGATCAGCAAACGTCGACCCACAACCTCCAGTAAGGCGATTATGGCCCGGTGCAGCAGCAGCTACCACTAATTCCTATTGGGAGCCACAACAAGGCGGGGGGAAAATTATCTTCCGGCTGGCCTGGGAGTCACAGCAGTGATGATGAGGGGAAGATCTACCTGTGTCCTGTATTGGCAGTACTGGGACACAAAAACCTCTAGTAAAAACCAAACAAAAACAAAACAAAAATACAGCATGAAAAAGTATGTTGCTAGCTGTTACCAGTAACCATGGCAACACAACTGTTCATATTTACGAAAATTCATGTGGTTTCCATTTAACGTGGGTAACTAAATAAGTCTTATCACTACTAGCTCTTGCTGGCAAACATGGCAACCCAAGATAATTATTTTCATATACGCAAAATAATTTACTCTCTATTTAGTGCGAGGGAAATAAAAAATGGTAAGCCTCTTCCAGTGTATTGCACAGACCGATTATAAATACAGTAAACTGTGCTGTGTGGCCCTGGTGCAGGACACTACCATATGCCTCACTCTACCACACACTAAGCTGAAGAAATGATGGATAATTAAAATAAATATTTATTCTTTTAACATTTCAAAAAAGTAAATGAAAAATAATAATTAATTACAAAGAAATAAATACAACTAGTCTGGTGCGATCAGGACAGGTTATATATAAATTTATTTACAATATAAATTTATTAATAAGTGTTTACCGTGACGTCACAGTGTTGTGGAAATGGTAATGGTGGTGGTGCGGGCTGGCAAGCATTATACGTCACTACCAGCTGGGCCACCCTGTGCTTGTGTCTGTCCCTCTCTCCCCTCCCAGACACCTCTCTCTCTCTCTCTCTCTCTCTCTCTCTCTCTCTCTCTCGCCTCCTCCTCCTCTCCCCCCCCCCAGACACGCCTCCTCCCCTTCTTCCCCACACCCTCCTCGACTAGCTTCTCTCTCTCTCCCCTCCCAGACAAGCCTTCACCCTTCTCTCTCTCTCTCTCTCTCCACCTCCCGACTAGCCTCTCTCTCTGGTTTTTTATCTCACCTTCCATGCCTGTCTGAGTCATTCTCCTCTTCAACAATTTTACAGACAGAATAAAAAAAATATGACAACACAACGACTACAACAACAACAACAACAACAACAACAACAACAACAACAATAATAATAATAACAATAAAAAACAAATAATAGTAATAACAAAAATAATAATAATAACAATAATAATAATAATAAACACAGCTAAAAAAAATTACTTGATGGGTAAAGACATACACATAATTTTACCGGTCTAGGGGGCAAGACAGAGGTATATACCACATTGACCATAAGATCCATAGTGGCCTGTTGTTCGCCTTTTTCTGGTGGTCATAACGCGAAAAAGATAAATGTACGGAATTCACTTAATTACAAACTGATTTGAATTTTTGTTCCAATTCCTTTGAGAGTGGAAGGGGAGATGAAGGGGAGGAGGGTGGGGAGTGAGTAGGGAGAGGGAAGGAGGGAAAAAAGGAGGAGGATAAGGAAGGAAGGGGAGGATGAGGATGGGTGGGGAGGAGGAAGAGAGGAGTGGGGGAGGGATTAGGGAGGAGGGGAGGGGGGGGGATTAAGGAGGAGGGAGGGTGGGGATTAGGGAAGAGGGGAGTGGGGGAAGGGATTAGGAGGAGGGGAGGGGGGATTATGGAGGAGGGAGGGGGATTAGGAGGAGGAGGGGAGTAAGGGGAGGTGAAGGGGGGAGGGGAAAGGAGAGGGAGAATAAGAAAGGGTCACTGAAGAAAGAGGGAAGGAGGAAAACCAGCTAGTCCTTCCCTCTCAATCCTTCCTCCCCTTTCGTATATCAATGATAAAGGGGGGGGAGGGGGGGAGGGAGGAGAAGGAGGGAGGGGGAGGAAGAGGAGAGGGAGGAAAGGGATGAGGGAGAATATGGGAGGGGGGTGGAGGGTTGGAGGAGATTAGACGAGGGGACACCCAACAGTCAGGCCGCCGCTGCTCCAGTTATTGTGAATCTTTCTCCTAATTTGCATAAAATACTTCAAAGTCACGGTGTTTGCTCTCTACCTTCCTCCCCCCTTTTCTCTCTCTCTCTCTCTGTCTCTCCCTCCTCTCCTCCCCTCTCTCCCTTCATCCCCCCTTTTCTCTCTCTCCCTTCCTCCACCTTTTTATCTCTCTCTCCCTTCGTCCCCCTTTTTTCTCTCTCCCCCTTCCTCCCCTCTCAAATTTCTTGTTCTCGCTCTCTTTCTTCCTTTCTTCTTCTCCCTCTCCATTCCTCTTCCCCACTCCCCTTTTTACTCCTCTCTTCCCCCCTTTCTTCTCATTCTCTCTATCTCCGCCCCCCTTTATCTACCTCTTTGATATCAGATAAAATTTTCATGGCCGAGTTTGTTGACGATCGCAGTCTGAACAAATCACGTCTATATCATCATCATCATCATTATTATTATTATTATTATTATTATTATTATTATTATTATTATTATTATATTGCTTATCATTATTCTTATTACTGTAGCTGTTATTATTGTCATTTTTTTATTATTAACGAGTTTTTATTATGTCTCTGTACTATAAAATAAAATAATAAAATAATTTCAACTAAGATACGGGGAGTTGTGTAGTGCAGCCACGCCTACACGTCACGGCCACACACCTCGTTCACACGCCAGACATATTCTTCTCCCCTCGCGCCTCACCCACTCCAGCATGCGTTAATGTCGGTCGTGCGAATAGTGTGTTTGTTTTGCGTTTATATGTGGAGCTCTCTCTCTCTCTTTCTCACACACAGACATACACGCATTAACGCATACACACATGTTCACACCTTCCCTTCACACAAACATATCCCCCCTAAACACACGCAAACACATACTGTAACACCACCCTCACACACACACACACATAAAACACCTTGACGCCAGCCTCGACCTGCCACATCACATCAATATCCGGGAGAGGCGACTCAAAAGAAACATAACACGTAGAGAGGAGAAGGAGCGTCACACCACAGAGATTGACCCATCACTCTTCCATTCACACCCACTGGGATCCCGCCGCTGGCCTCTCGTCTCCTCTCTAAATGTCTGTATTATAGAACCATTATGTATACTTTTCTATAAATTAATGTTTATTGAGTGTTTGTAAATATTTGTACTTAGTCACCAAAAGTACTGATAAACCACCAAATGTACTTTTTCAACAACTTTAACGTCTCCTAATTGTTGTAAACTATGCACCTGTCACCTTAACTGATGTACTATTTTAAGGAATAGAAGTTTTCCATTGTTTAACTGTATTTAAACCTGAGGATGGTGTACGCCCCCAGACCTAGATTTCTCAAGTCGAATTTTTCACTCCTAACTGGACTTGTAAGAACTCACCTAACTAGCTGACTTACGACTTTACGACCAATATGACGTAACAATTACACCGAGACTACCTTAATAAGATCAGTTAGCTTACTTAAGACTGTTAGGATGGAGAGTAAATGTTTAGAATCTTTGTGAGTACGGAAACAGATACAGAGATTCGTACACTAAACGACCTCTTTTTACCGAGACAAGTAAACAGTCGCACTTTATTTCCCACATTTTGACAGTCATCTTTGTGTCGTCGATTAAATGAGTCAGTTACATGCCCTCTTAAGTGACTACAGTTCAGAGGAAATGGTAACTTATGATACTTGTTGAGGTACAGTACATCTGTTAGGGATATTTACAGTACACCGTGTACTGGGCCGTGGCTACTATACTGTTAATGAATACACAATAAATACCTAAAGTAAATATAAATATTGATAAATAAATTATAAATAGATGAAAAAACAAAATAAATTCCTATTATTTTCGTCTTTATCGTACTTTCTGAACACAAGTCGAGGGATGATTAGCGGTGAGGTAAGCGTGAGTGGTCCCGCCATCTATTGAGTAAGCGCATTACTATCATAGTACCTAGTGAATAGCCCTTCCAATATTGATTGGTTAAATGCCCGGCGGTCGTGTGAATTTGCTGAATAGCTAATCGGCATGCGAGCGTGTTGAATAGTGTGTGGCCAGGGGAAAGTAGGATATGATAACCCACTGAGCACAAAACCTTGAAGAGAAACTGGATATTTATTCATATTTAAAAAGTCGGTTAGTACGCTTGTATATGAAAGAATGTAGACAGCAGCGAACCACATTACATACTACTTTAATGATTTTTTTAATGATCATCAACAAATTAAATCCGAGTGATGTCAGTAGAGATACTGAGACTAACTGAATCCGCACAGTCAATGATCTACGGGGGTGTTTACGAAGTCCCTTGATGTTCGTGTTTACAGTCTCTTCAGTTACACATCCAAAACATCAGTGTGTAGTTCTTAATTTTCTTCATATAACTGTACGGAATTATAGTTACAAAAAAGATCATCAAGTTGTAGACGTAAGTATAATGAGGACATCGATGGGAACCGTGAAAACATACTGACGTGTTAAGTTTGTCCGGTGAAACTTTGTGAACATAAACATCAAGGGACTTTGTAAACACCCTGGTAATGTGGTAAGGGAAGCTGCAAAAAAAGTTATACAAAAATTATTACAGTGTGACACTTACTACTACAACTATTGCAGCTAAAATTACTACAACAATAATTACTACTACTACTACTACAATTGGCATCAACAATAATTATACTACTAAACATTAATAAAAGTAAATAACATTAATACCACCAATAACAATATCAACATTATTACAATACTACACTAAAAATAATAATAAATAAGTGCTAATAAATAAACATGATTATTACAACTCACAACCACAATTAATTCCACAACTCCACACAGCAACAATCACCCTCACAATCTACCTTCACAACTCATAATCAACCTTCACAACTCACAATCTACCTTCACAACTCACAATCTACCTTCACAACTCACAATCTACCTTCACAGCTCACAATCTACCTTCACAACTCACAATCTACCTTCACAACTCACAATCTACCTTCACAACTCATAATCAACATCCACAACTCACAATCTACCTTCACAACTCACAATCTACCTTCACAACTCATAATCAACATCCACAACTCACAATCTACCTTCACAACTCACAATTTACCTTCACAACTCACAATCTACCTTCACAACTCAAAATCTACCTCCATAATTCACAATCTACCTTCACAACTCACAATCTACCTTCACAACTCACAATTTACCTTCACAACTCACAATCTACCTTCACAACTCACAATCTACCTTTATAACTCATAACCTACTCCACGATTTCCATTTAATATAATTCACCTCTGAAACATTGAGTGACCTGACAATTATCTCACATTTTTTCTCTTTCTCAGCTTATTCTCTCACCATCTCTCGTCCTTCTCACCTTTATTTCTTTATCCATTGTTCCTTTATTGCCTCTGTTCTTCTTCTTGTGTTTCTTAACCTGGGAGGCGGCCTTGGTGTAGGAGTCCAGCTGGTGTTTGTGAGATGATAGGAATTTTTTCTGCTCACTCTGTCAACACAACAACAATGGTTAGTTGTTATCCTGGCTTTAGTAAATTTGATAATAATGTTATCTTGGTTTAAGTAAGTTCTATTGTAAACATCAACTGTTATCCTGGCTTTAATAAATTTGATAATAATGTTATCTTGGTTTAAGTAAGTTCTATTGTAACCATCAACTGTTATCCTGGCTTTAATAAATTCAATAATAATGTTATCTTGGTTTAAGTAAGTTCTACTGTAACCATCAACTGTTATCCTGGCTTTAATAAATTCAATAATAATGTTACCTTGGTTTAAGTAAGTTCTATTGTAACCATCAACTGTTATCCCGGCTTAAGCTACCTTATGAAGGCACACCTTATATGGGTACACTTCAGAGGGTCTTTTGTGGAGGTCTATACTTCAGGAGGTCTTTGGTGGAGGTCTATACTTCAGGAGGTCTTTGGTGGAGGTCAACACTTCAAGAGGTCTTTTGTAGAGGTCTGTCTTTCGTGGGTAAAATATAACATAACAAAAGTCACTAGCGACCCACTCCCACTCTCACTATCCTCTACTTAACACTACCTGGGCTTCAGCAAGGTGCCAATTTAGGTTAAATGGATTGGGAAATGTGTACAAGGAGATGTTTACGCTTCGGTGGCTCAGATCAGTGACAGTAAATAGCGTGACCCCAAGGGCTATACGAGTAAGGCTGTGTACGTGTTAGGTAATATGTACTTGTTACCTGTTGATATATTAATCTACCTGTTGATATATCGTCTACCTGTTGATGTATTCGTCTGTTGATTTATTCGTCTACCTGTTGATGTGTTCGTCTACCTGTTGATGTATCCGTCTACCTGTTGATGTATCCGTCTACCTGTTGATACATCATTACTATATACCGGTATAATGGTATTAGGATTCACGTTGTATACCATGTTTATTACAAGTTTTGTGTGTGTGTGTGTGTGTGTGTGTGTGTTCCTTGGCGTCTTAGCCCTTTCTTGTCACATTCTACACTTGTTTAGCATCACGATCCTCACTTATCATTCCTTCTTTTTCTCAAGGCTTCTGAGAGCGAGAGCGCGAGAGAGAGAGAGAGAGAGAGAGAGAGAGAGAGAGAGAGAGAGAGAGAGAGAGAGAGAGAGAGAGAGAGAGGTATTTTGTCTCAATTAACTGTGATCTGCCTTACCTGTAGCACCTTGGTGTCCTTATCCAGGTTGGTCTCGAGGGGCACCAGCAGGTCTACGTAGAAGGCCTTGAGCTGTGGGTGAGGGCGAGAGGCAGCGTCTTAAGAGTTATGGTACACACAGGGATTTACAGATTGGAGTTATATCACAGACCAACATTTACATCTGTGAGTTTTACAGTTTTAGTACAGACAGATTTACAGATTAGATATATCATATGTATTACAGACAGACATTTACAACAACAACGATAATGTTAATGATGATAATAATAATAAGTTTAAAAAATAATAATTAAAAGATCCCACAAGAAAATCTTCCACTAAGTATTTAATGAATTCATCAGTGCTGCAAAATACCAATTGGCAAATATTAGCAGAAACAAAGCAGGTGGACGGAGAAGTTTGCACAGCGTGGTGGAGGAGGAGGAGGAAGAGGTAGTGGAGGAGGAGGTAGAGGAGGAGGTAGTGGAGGAGGAGGAGGAAAGGAGGTGGTGGGGGAGGAGGAGGAGGTGACCACTACTTATTATCATACACCTGGCTGGATCAGTGGCCCAGGTCGCTAATTGTCCAGGTGACCACAACCATTAGCTCGGGTGGGGAGGGAGGGGGTCAAGTCTCTCTCTCTCTCTCTCTCTCTGATATTCTCTTTTTCTCTCTCTATATCCTTCTGCTCACTTGTTATTTTTCCTCCCCACCCTCCCTCCCTCCCTCTCTCTCTCCCTTTATTTGCTGTCATTATCCCTCCCTCTCTCTACTCAGTTATTTTTCCTCCTTCCTTTGGTTATCTGGAAAGAGGAGGAAGGGACTGAAGGAGGAGGTGGAGGGAGGTGGTGGAAGGGGGATTGATGAAGGTTGGAGAACAGAAATAATGACAATGAGAGAGAGAGAGAGAGAGAGAGAGAGAGAGAGAGAGAGAGAGAGAGAGAGAGAGATCACCATGAATCACCATCAGCACATTGTAGTGATACCCGTAGTACCGATCTAACCGCTCAAATCCTACACCTGAGGCCAGACAGATAAATGCTTAGTGGACAATGGTACGTGGCCTAAATACCCCTTAAATTATCGTAATCCAAAACCACTTTACTGTGATTTCAGAGTTTTAGATGAAAGACCAAAGATTGTCACCAGGAAAATGTCAACTTTAAAAGAGGGACACACAAAACTCTCCAGGTACTACCAAATGGAGAAATCCGTAATCATCAGCATGTATGGGAGTAAACGTAAAGGTCGTGAGATACAACAAGACCGGAGCTGAGGACGGCGGGGTAGCGGGCAGGTGTGTGGTGGTCAGTCCCGGGTCTCAGGAGGGGAGGTCCTCTCTGCCACACAAAGGTCCTCCCCGTTATCTGGCCAGCTGTGAGATGCTGGCTGATATGGGCGGTACTTCTCGTGGCCGTGACTGGCACTATGAAGGGTGACAAGGAAGACGGGTTGAACACATCTGACACGTACAGATGCTCGCTTTCATTATGTGGTGTTTTTCAGCAGTGTTGGGCTGAGTCACGTGACAGCCCCGTTATGCTGCTTACAGAGGTGAAGGTTTGATTTATGATTACGTCTGATTAGTTATAACTCTTATAGTTCACAGAGTACATTAACAGCTGTTTTTTCCGCGTTCGTTTTCAGTCACAATGACATTGACGAGTATCTCGAGCACTGTCTACAGGATAAAAGTTTATATAAGCTCAGTATGAGGAGTGTGTGCTGCATCAACTGCCTTAGTCTTTGTTAATATGGAAGTGTTCATCAGTCACAACCCACTCCAAGCCCCCCCCCCCCACACACACAAAGCCCTGCAGCTACATTAGATGTGTTCTCTTTGATCACAAGCTTCCAGAGTGTTTTGCTGCGTCCTCCATGTATATTCATGGCCAAGTTCAGGTCCACCTCCTGCCATACAGTATTTTTGCACAAGAGAATTTTATTTTCGCCGATACGTCGTACTGCCAAGGTTACAGAGAGTGTTTACATGGCGCCGTGCAAATAGAGCCTGACAGTCTTATTTGCTCAACAAAATTGTGAAAAAATAAGAGGTAAAAATATTCAGGAGCCAGGTGGTGCCGCCCTGATATCCCGGCCGCGTCACCCGAAGGGGGGGGGGGGACAACAGCTGTTACACTACACAAACACGACACTGTTGGTACTATACATCAAAGAACAAGGTTCACGTGAGCAATGTGTTCGTTTTTTAACAATTGTCAGGGACGACCGTGGCTCATATATAGATACTGAACTGGTGATGTAGTTCACGTATACTATACACATAAATCATTCTTGTAACACTGAAATACAGGAGCCTGAAATACAATAGAAAATCTTTTTATCTCCAGCAGGGGTGGAGAGCCCCCGGCGGGTCCAGGTGCACCACTCAGGTGGGGCTGATGGATCAGTAATACTGCTGAGCCAATATTGTCCATCAGACACAGCGAGCTGGACCCCACCCCGGGAGACCCGCCACAATAGGTCCAGTCACGGTTTTTAAAGTTTTCCTGTGTTTATTTTCAACAGCCTGGTTATGCATCGACCGGCTCCTTTAAGGTACAACACAGTGATGCCCGATAAATGTGCCGAAAACTCGCATTCAAAGTCTACTGTAAGGTTAAGGGTTAAGAATCCGGGCCAAGGTTCCCCCCCAGCTCGGGTGCATGACGAGGCGGACACCTCCACCTCCGCGTTTGTCAAGAAGCTCAAGAGGATTTCCAGAGATGAGTCTCATATCCTCACTTCACCATGAAATCCCAACTTGAAACGGCTCCTAAGCAGTCTCCTCAAATTGATCTTCTTCCTTCTACGGAACTACTCAGTTTACTGGACCGATAACTCCCTCACACGGCCATCTACTGATATTAATAGATGACCTCCAAGTGTTGAATTTGTGAAGCAATTTGCATCAACTCCGACCCCTAGGACGAGCCTCCCCATGTTTCCACAACACGTCCTCCCTACCTCCAATATTCAAAACAACATTTTTCCTTTATTCCCTTTTTCAGCGTTGTTATGAACCCTCCAAGTTCATTTCCTACTCCTCCATTACTACACGTTTCCCCTCCACCACTACTCTCGCTCTGGGTCTTCCTGAAATACGAAAACGAATTAAACCAACAGTAAAAGCTTCAACTACCCCCAAGGTTCATGATTTAAGGAAATATTTCTTACTTGTCCATACAATTTGAAGTCTAATATCACATTTTGTGTAGAATATTATTTCCCACTTTCTATCTCCACTTAAAAGAGACCAAACAACAATATAAAACACGAACAGTAAAGTTAATTGGAGTTATTATTGTTGGTTTAGTTGGTTTTTGTATTTCAGGAGAACAGGTCACCCCCTACAGCAATACCATTACAGGAATATTAATGGTTATTACTACGTTAGGGCTTCCTCTATCTCTCTCCCAGCTGTTATCTCTCTCTCCATGTCCTATTTCTTCTTTATCTTTGTCTTCTATCATCTCTATCCCCCTCTTCTGTCTTTCCTAATTCTCCTTCGTTTCACCTATTCTCTCCTTTATCTTATTCATACTCATTAGGTTATCTTCGTTCTGATACTTCATTATATCAACCATTACCATCTCCTCCTTCCCCTTGTCATTCCTCTTACATCTTCCAACCATTTACTCTTCCTTCTCTCCTTCTTTTTCTCCTTTCTCCTCCTTTACCCCCCTACATGTACCTTTCTCCTTCCTTCCCTCCCTCCTCTTTGTCTCCCTCCCTATTCATCCCCTTTCCATTCCTCCTTGATCCTATCCACTCTTTCCTCTCTCCGTCCATCCCCCTGTTCCTTCCTCCTCCATCCATTCCTATCCTTCTTCCAACCTTCCCTGTCCTTCCCTCCCTCCCTCCCTCCAATCCATCTCTGCCGCTCCCCCACCTCCTCCTCCTGCACCCATCCCTTCTTCTCGTCCTCCAACCCTCCCTGCCCCCCCTCACCCATCTCTGCCGCTCCCCACCTCCTCCTCCTGCACCCACCCTTTCTTCCCCTGTCCTTCAAACCCCTGCCCCCCTCACTGATCTCTGCCGCTCCCCCACCTCCTCCTCCAGACCTCCCACTTGAGCCTCATCAGCCGTCCAAGGTGTAGGTACTCACAATGTTCATCTGCTGGGCCTGGACCTCCTTGTACACGTCCACCATCTGCATCAGGCACATCCCTGCAACACACCAAGACTCCTGTTAACCTCTTACTCAAGTGTCTTAACCTCTTACTCAAGTGTCTTAACCTCTTACTCTAGTGTCTTGACCTCTTACTCTAGTGTCTTGACCTCTTACTCTAGTGTCTTGACCTCTTACTCTAGTGTCTTGTGTGACCTCTTACTCTAGTGTCTTAAACCTCTACTCTAGTATTTAACCTCTACTGCGTCTGACCTCTACTCTAGCCTTGACCTCTTACTGAGCTGCCTTGACCTCTCTTACCTAGTGTCTTGACCTCTACTCTAGTGGCCCTGGACCTCTCTTACTCTAAAAGTTCGACCTCTTTTACTCTAGTGTGTCTTAAACTCTTACTCTAGTGTCTTAACCTCTACTCTAGTATTTTTAACCTCTTACTGCAGTGTCTTAACCTCCTTACTCTAGTGTCTTGGACCTCTTACCTAGCGTCTTGACCTCTCAGCCTCGAGCTAAATCTTGACCTCTTACCTAGCTGCTCCTTGACCTCTTACTGAGCGTCCTGACCTCTACTCTAGTGTCTTGACCTCTTACTCTAGTGTCTTTGACCTCTTACTCGAGCGTCTTGACCTCTTACTGAGCGTCTTGACCTCTTACTTAGCGTCTTGACTCCTTACTCGAGCGTCTGACCTCTACTCTAGTGTCTTGACCTCTTACTCTAGTGTTCTTGACCTCTTACTCTAGCGTCTTGACCTCTTACCGAGCGTCTTGGACCTCTTACTCTAGTGTCTTGGACCTCATCACTGAGCTGCTCTCGACCCTCTTACTCGAGCTGTCTTGACCTCTTACCGAGCGTCTTGACCTCTACTCTAAGGTCTTGACCTCTTACTGAGCTGTCTTGACCTCTTACTCTATAGTGTCTTGACCTCTTACTCTAGTGCCTGACCTCTTACTGAGCGTCTTGACCTCTTACTCGCTGTCTTCTTGACTTCTTACTCTAGCTGTCTTGACCTCTTACTCGAGCGTCTTGGACCTCTACTCTAGTGTCTTGACCTCTTACTCTAGTGTCTTGACCTCTACTCTAGCGTCTTGACCTCTTACTCGAGCGTCTTGACCTCTTACTCGAGCTGTCTTGACCTCTTACTCGAGCGTCTGACCTCTTACTCTAGTGTCTTGACCTCTTACTCTAGTGTCTTGACCTCTTACTCTAGTGTCTTGACCTCTTAGTCTAGTGTCTCAACCTCTTACTCTAGTGTCTTGACCTCTTACTCTAGTGTCTTGACCTCTTACTCTAGTGTCTTAACCTGACTATATAAGGCAATAATAATTCTACAGATATATATATATATATATATATATATATATATATATATATATATATATATATATATATATATATATATATATATATATATATATATATATATATATATAACTTAGCATATAAAAAACACAATATAAACTGTATTAATTTATTTGAATTAGTTATATGAAGTATACCGTTTGCAGGTCTTTATATAACTTAATACTATAATGTACATAATTTATATTAATCTAAATAAGAAAGTAATCCAAAGTACACCAATTTATATGACCTAGTAATATTAAGTACACAATACATTAAGAGGCAATGGACTGAGGGTAATGTTTGGGTCATTAGTGAAGATGTAATTGACAATTGTATGTCATATCCCACCTGGTGGTGTAGTGGCCACAAACTGGTACTTACTGCCAGGTAATGACGGCTGATGACTGGTTACCTGGGCGTGTTACCCCTCCCCCTACCGTGTTCATAGTTACAGTACACTTCCACAGTTCATACGGTAACACACACACACATGTAAACATAATTGGTAATATATGTACACAAAAGTGGGCACAGATAAGGCACACACACACTGAATTACCCTCTATCTATACACAGCATAATGTGAGGCCCTCTTCCCGCCCATCACCCTCCCTTACCCGCCCATCACCCAGACTTACCTATGTCAGAGGAGCCGCCCCAGAGGCCCTGCTGGGAGTGCCGCGCCACCTTTGTCAGTGTCTCCAGGTATATCTTTGACGCCGACATGGCACCTGCAGGAGAAACATCTCATTAGTGCCACATACAAGTGAGATTAAGGAAACTGTGCTACAAAAGTGTACTAAACACAGGTGAAAGAATATAGGCAGTGCCATTAATCAACACTCAATCTTCCCAGAGCCACTCAGTATCAGGATCTTAAAGTCACAGAGTCAGATCTGGTGCCACATCACACCACATGCTATACCAAGACAGTAACAAGACATCTAAAAATCACACGACGCCACCATTCACAGTGCCAAGGAATCTCACTGTCATACAAGTCATCTAATTACATCATCACATCATAAATTCACAATAACAATGGCTCATCGTTGGTCCTGACAGTATATGCTAAAATACCATCACGTGACATAACCTGACAAAGCAATGGTAACAAGGGAAGTCCCCAGCCCCTTGGGTACATTAAATAAAGCACTCACACGAATCCTCTAAACATGTCAATATTTAGTAAAACTCTTTCCCACGAGAACAAATGATAAATCAACAACAAGCAACTGTTATTGATGCTAAACCACATGTGTCAGTTGTTGGTTATTGCAGCAAAGACACAGGTGAGGAGGATAACAGGTCATTGTGGGTACGGTGTAGAGCAGGTTGGTGAGGGCGTGTGTTAGTCTCTCCCTCACTACCTGCACATTACCCCGTCATCTGGCTGACTACTAGTGCCAGGGAAGACAGGAAGACTCGACCACCTGGCGTACTTTGGGAGGGGGGAGGAGGGTAGGGTCATCCAGCTGACGTTAGTAGTAGTACAGTTGACCCTCACCCATCTGGCGTACGGGAAGGAGGGAATCTCAACCACCTGGCGTAAGGGGAGGGGGGGGTTATCCAGCTGGTGTAAGGAGTATGGTTGGTCCTCACCCATCTGGCGTAGGGGGGAGAAAAAGTTATGGGGTGGTTAGGCAACAAGAGTATGAGTAGGGAGATTGGGTTGGTGGGAGAGTGAATAGACGTGGAGGGGATAATGGGGAGAGATGGGGAGGAAAATAGACAAGGGGAGGAGGAGAAGATAGAGAATGAGGGAGGGGAACACCAGCATGGAGGAGACACGAGGAAGTGAAATGAAGAGAGGTAAGGTGAGGAGGGCGTGAGCGTGGAGAGGAGTGGTGGAGGAATGTGTGTGTGGAGGAGGGCGTGAGGTGGTGTCCGTGTGGAGGAGGTCGGGGAGAACGGGGAAAGGTATTGCATGCTAGGATGACCAGCTGACTCCTCTCCTCCCCTTCCTCAGCCCCCAGGTGGGAGTAATATCGGTCTCACTAGAGTAAATTTGTCATAAGAAAGTCGAAGGTTTCTCTAAATAGGAGCAAGACCTCTGATGTGCCGGCCATATTCTCAACACACACACACACACACACACACACACACACACACACACACACACACACACACACACACACACACACATCTATTATTCCGTTAAATTTTTTAGCAATACAAAGAATTTCTATAAACGTGTATTGGTTCGTCTTTCATGCTGACGTGAAAGCCATGAGTACCCTTTGAGTACGATAACTGTGAGTACGATAAATTAACTCCTTGGTAACGATATCTTAACCCCCTGAGTACTATAACTTAACCCCCTGAGAACGATACCATAACCCCCTGAGTACGATACCTTAACCCCCTGAGTACGATACCTTAACCCCCTGAATACGATACCTTAACCCCTGGAACACACCGACTTAAACCCTCGACTTTACGGAAATAAACTGACCTTGCGTCCCTCTGAGAATCAAGAGCACTCGACCCCCACACGGAGAACACACACAACACTTGATTAATTGCATCCACACCTGAGTGATCACTAATTGACACCTGGTGCACCTTTTGTCCTTTCTTGGTTCGTGGTATACACACTGTACCACCACCCACCTCCTCCTCCTCCTTTCTGTCTCTTTTCTTCCTTCTTCTGTCTTTCTTTCTCTTGTTGTTCCTCCTTTCTTCCCTTTGTACCTTCCTTCTTTACTCCTTCATTCCCTGTCTATCTCCCTTCCTCTATCACTACCTCTCTCTTGTCTCCCTCATCTGATTTCCTCTTTCTATTCCTTCCTTTCTTCCTTCCTTCCTTCCTTCACTTCTTCAAAACCCTTTTCCACACTTCCTCCTCCTTATCAATATCGACACGTACCAAAGCCTGAGATGTATTGCGGGCGTGGGATGAAGTGAGACAGTGGGCGTGGGATGAAGTAAGACAGTGGGCGTGGGAGGAAGTAAGACAGTGGGCGTGGGAGGAAGTAAGACAGTGGGCGTGGGATGGAGTGAGACAGTGGGCGTGGGATGAAGTAAGACAGTGGGCGTGGAGGAAGTAAGACGGTGGGCGTGGGATGAATGAGACAGTGGGCGGGATGAAGTAAGACAGTGGGCGTGGATGAAGTGAGACAGTGGGCGTGGGAGGAAGTAAGACAGTGGGCGTGGGAGGAAGTAAGACAGTGGGCGTGGGATGAAGTGAGACAGTGGGCGTGGATGGAGTGAGACAGTGGGGTGGGATGAAGTGGGGTGGGCGTGGAGGACGTAACAGTGGGCGTGGGATGAAGTGAGACAGTGGGCGTGGGATGCAGTGAGACAGGGAGGAAGTAAGACAGTGGGCGTGGAGGAAGTAAGACAGTGGGAGGGATGAGTGAGACAGTGGGCGTGGGATGAAGTAAGACAGTGGCGTGGGATGGAGTAAGACAGTGGGCGTGGGAGGAAGTAAGACAGTGGGCGGGGAGGAAGTAGACAGTGGGCGTGGGATGGAGTGAGACAGTGGGCGTGGGATGAAGTAAGACAGTGGGCGTGGATGAAGTGAGACAGTGGGCGTGGATGAAGTAAGACAGTGGGCGTGGAGAGAAGCAAGACAGTGGGCGTGGGATGAAGTGAGACAGTGGGCGTGGGATGAAGTAAGACAGTGGGCGTGGGAGGAAGTAAGACAGTGGGCGTGGGAGGAAGTAAGACAGTGGGCGTGGGATGAAGTGAAGTAAGACAGTGGGCGTTGGATGAAGTGAGACAGTGGGCGTGGAGATTTTAAGAGCATATATAATTGTTTTCACTTATATATAAATTCGTTCACTCTTGTACAAATTAATCCACTCTGTATTAACCCCGTATGATTTAACTCCATACAACATCTATACACAAAATCCTTCGATATCAAAATAATCAAAATACACAAAGTATTTTTTTTCACTGTAATATAAACCAGAACATGACTTACTAGATCCAGGTTATAGAAACGAGTTTGTAAACACTGAGATGTGTTATCAACTCAGTGGCGCAGAATGAACACATTATACGTCTTACGAGGAGTTTGTTTAAGATTAAAAGATGGAGTACGTGGGTAAACTACAGTATACCCTCAGCCAACCAAGAAGGAACTAATTTAACCAATCGTGCTTCAGTAAATGCAATGACAGCCAATCAGGGTGGAGGTAAAAATGACTAATCATGCTTCAGAATACGGGATGACAGCCAATCATGGAGGAGGTAAAAATGACCACTCAAACTTCAGAACACAATCATGAGGGAAGTTAAAAATGACCAATCACGCTTCAGAACACAATCATGGGGGAAGTTAAAAATGACCAATCACGCTTCAGAACACACAATGACAACCAATCATGGAGGAATTAAAAATGACCAATAATAAACAAACTAAAACAAACGGCGGGAAGGAAAAGGAAAACTTGGAAGAGATAAATAAATAAACCTGACAGGCACGAGGTAGGGATGTGAACACAAGAGAAATCTAAATAATTTACATGTCGAATCAAACCCCAGAGACACGGCAGTGGGGGAGTGGAGGAGAGGGAGGATCAACACACACACACACAGAGTATCACTTTCCCAGCCTGTCAGTCTGTGTTTGTGTTCCGCCAGGCTGGTCTCAGGCCACTGGTGTCGATCAGGTCTTACAAACCGACTACCGACACTCCAAACCCCGAATACGAAACTCTGAATCCCAAATCCGAAACTTTGAATCCTTATTCCGAAACATTAAATCCCGAATCCAAAACTTTAAATCCAAAATCAGAAACGTTAAATCCCGAATCCGAAACTCTGAATCCCGAATCCGAAAATCTTAATCCCGAATCCGAAACTCTGAATCCCGAATCCGAAACTCCGAATCCAAACACTAACACCAAGAGAGAGAGAGATCATACAACTCATACTGACAAACGAAAAAATAACACGTTTCCCAGACCTCCCTTCTAAGAGACGGGTGGCCGAGGGGGTATTGTAATCACCCTGTCCCTGTGTCAGTCTGTCTGTCAATCAACCTCCCCCCCCACACCCCCACACCCCCCATCTTTCCCGAGACAGTAGAGGGAGGGTTTTGTAATCGTGTGTGTGTGTGTGTGTGTGAGTGTGTGTTTGAGTGTGTTTGAGTGTATCAGCTTGATCTATAAGTACTCAGGCAACTATCTTGAGATGAAGGGTTAGGAGGTAGAGAGATGACCAATGGGTTAGTTTAGGGGAAATAAGGTCAGAGGTCAAGGGAAAATAGGGAAGACATAAGTTATATTTTTGGGAAATAACAATAATATCACCTATGAGTAATCCCCCAACCTCGAATTACTGTCACTTTCTTCACTCCCCAGCGTCACTTACCACTACGCCCTGGGCACTGACCATGGGAAACCTCGTAGTGTAAGTTATGAAACCCCCAACAAAGGAAGCCTCTGACCGTGGATAGTGTAGGAGGGCTTCCAGTACACTACCTCGCCTTCTGTACTCTTCCTGCTGGCGGTGTTTTTTCTTGTGTGTGTGTGTGTGTGTGTGTGTGTGTGTGTGTGTGTGTGTGTGTGTGTGTGATAACTTCCTGGTGTCTGCGTGCTTGATCCAACTCCTAAGTATGTGTGTTTTTTCTTTTTTTATGTGTACGTATAAAACTCGCCTCGTTCTTGTGTGTGTGTGTGTGTGTGTGTGTGTGTGTGTGAACGTTTCCATCGCCTCGACCAATGACCTACAGTATGTGCACTTTCTATCACTTCCTCGTGTGTGTGTTCCTGTATGT